CAGCAGGATCTAAGAACCCACACACGGAGAAACCATGTAACTGCTTAGCTTGTGAAAATCGCTTTTCTCTTATTTCCCATGAAAAAGACAACCACAGACTGCCGAAAGAGATGAAAGCATGGAAACTCTCGTAAAGTGCTTGTGTCTGCCCTGAGTCCTGACCATAACATGGAAGAAATGATAGAAATATTTGGACTGAGGACAGAACTCCAATAAATCTCACAAGGAAGAAAGCAAGGATGTGTTCTGAGGGCGGAAGGAGATTCAAGACCCACCCATATCTCCTTAACCACACAGGAGAGGAAGCTCAGCACTACTCACTGTGTAGCAACAACTTGTAGCAACAGCTTGAGGCAGAGATCCACCCTTCCTGTTTGTCAGATAATCCACACAGGGGCAAAACTTTCCTATAGTGCGTTCTGGTGAGGCTCTTCTTTGAGTGTTTAGGTGTTGGAGGCTCAGAAATGCTCCAAAAGTAGTTGTATGAAGAAGAACCTTTTTAGTGGTTGTCCTCCCTTAGTCTGTCTGCCAAGCTTCTGTCTGCCAAGCTACTTCTGACATCTGCGCAACTGGCAAAAAACATACCTGTTTTCCAAATCCCGTGATGAAATAGACACATTGATAGCTGATGTCTGTGGATAGGTTTCAGGTGTCCATGAACTTGGATGGAGGGGGAAATTATCTCTTTATTTTCACTAACCTCTTACTGAAATTCAGTATTTCCTTCCTTTATGAATGTAGGCAACAAACCACAATAGTATTAGCAGTGCCTGTAATCTTGTCACCCAGAGAACTCACAGATTTTTTTTCACATCACATTACTGTTGTTGCAGATATCTCGAAATATCGTTTACACTCCTCACTACTCTGGAATTAGGGTAGTTATTAGACCTGCTGTTTGATTGCACGCGATCACAGTCTTCCTGTCTACAGACCCTTGTGTGACATAGCTGGCCGGGTATCAGGTAACACTGTGCCTACTCGTCATGCAGCCATGAAACAGTGACGCAGGTTGTTCCTGTGCTAATGACCCAGACATCCAAATTGATTTATAGTATTCCCTGTGTCTAATTTTTAGTTGATCAACGTGTGGGAGAAAGTGAGTCATTTTCAGTTCTGCAAAACTGGATAGTTCAAATGAGAATTCTTACCTCTCCATAATGCTGCACAGCTGACTGTAACTTAGTCAGGCGCAGGGGCTATGAGGGGACATTCAGCAAGGTCACTGAAGTTCCAAGTGCTATTTAATTAAGAAAGAAGCACATATATTACTGTATATAATTTAAAAAAAAATATTTTGTTAACTGTATTTCAGTATAACTGCCTTCCTTGGTAATCCTCTGTATATTGTTTTATGCATTTAAGGGGTCTGTAGGCTACACCAGACTGCCAAAGGGGCCCGTGGTTCAAGAAAGGTTAAGAACCCCTGTGAGAGAGGGAAATCCCTGCCTTAGAAGGACAAAAGCCGTTGGTAGGAAAACTGGAGGAGTGGGAGAGAGAGGTCTCTCCTCCCCACAGACATCTAGGAGGGGGGAGCATACTGCTTGGGGCACATCTCAATCAGCAGCGTATTCTGGGGTGGAGCTTGCACCAGGGACCCCCGAAAGAAGTAAGGCAAAGTGTTCTGGTGGTTTCAGTTGTAGCTCGCAGAGGGTTGCATGTTCTTTTTGGTACCTCTGATGTAGAAGTGAATAAATTTAGACCGAAATCTGGTTTCATGCCTACGTTTTTTGACCCTGCAGTAACAATCTTTTAAAGGTTAGTCGTTAGGGACTTGAAAACGTTGGAGGACAGATGTAGTAATTGGCGTAAATAAAACTGGATGTTATGCAGAACTTAGTAAAGGGAAAGGTTCCCTTGCTCGAAAGCCAGTCGAATCCGACTCTAGGGTTGCGGTGCTCATCTCCGCTTCAAAGCCGAAGAGCCAGCGCTGTCCGAAGACTTTTCCATAGTCATGTGGCTGGCATGACTAAACACCAAGGCGCACGGAACGCTGTTATCTTCCCACCGAAGTGGTCCCTATTTATCTACTAGCAATTTCTTGCTTTCGAACTGCTAGGTTGGCAGAAGCTGGAAGTAGAGACGGGAGCTCACTCCGTCATGCGGCACACTCGGGTCTCGAACTGCTGAACTACCGACCTTCCGCAGCCTGCAGTTCAGCGTCTTAACCACTTGAGCCACCGCAGGTCCTTTACGGAACTTAGTCATTGATAAATCAGTTATTGTAAAAGCTGCAGACAAAGGTGGCACCACAGTCATTTTGGCTACCAATACTTCCTTTGATGTTACATAGACATTTACAGGAGTCAGCCTTTTACCAACCTATGTGTCCGGATCCAACTCATCATATATTAAGTTTAATTAAGATTGTGGTACAAGAGGCACTTACTTTTAGGCTTATCAGTGGATCTATGGCCAAGTTTGTCGATGAATATTCTAAGATCCCAACATTTTATATATTACCTAAGGTGCATAAAGGTCTTAACCCTCCCCTCGGAAGACCAATTGTATCTGGAATAGGGTCCCTTTTAGAACCATTGGCTAAGTTTTGTTGACTCTTTCTTACAACCTTTTGTAGCTCTTGCTAGATCCATACAAAAGACTTAACCATTAAAATGGAAAATATCATTATCTCTATAGTATTTTCCAAACTCTGTTCTCCATGTGGATACTTATTTCCGCCAACAGAGGGCTCACCCCCCAACAGCTCAGGGGACTTTCTGGATATGCAGAAAAATCCAAAAAGTTTAAAAAAAACCTCAAGGAGGGTTGAATTCCCCCTAATACCTTTTGAAATGGCCTCCATAGGGATCTACTCCAGGCATCAACGGAGAAAGATTAGAACTGGGGCGGAGGCTTCTGTTTCTATTGGTAAAAACTAGGGGAAGGGGGAAAGGCCCATTGGTGTAGTGGCCAGTTTGGTGTAGTGGTTAAGTGCGCAGACTCTAATCTGGGAGAACCAGGTTTGATTCCCCACTTCTCCACTTGCAGCTGCTGGATGACCTTGGGCAAGCCATAGTTCTGTCAGAGCTGTTCTTGAAAGAGCTCTCTCAGCCCTACCTACCTCACAGGGTTAGGGTTGTGGGGAGGGGATGGGAAAGGAGTTTGTAAACCGCTCTGAGACTCCCAAGTGAAGGGCGGGGTATAAATCCAGTCTCCTCTTCTCTTCTTTGAGGGTGGTAGCCTTGGGTCCAGGCTTGACAATAGTTGTCAGTGCCAGGCTGGGGAATTCCTAGAGGTTTTGTGGTAAACCCTCAGGATGGCGGGGTTTGGGGAAGGGAGAGGCCTCAGAGGCCTCAGCTGGGTATAATGCCAGAGTCCAGCCTCCAAAGCAGCCATTTTCTCCATGGGAAGTTATCTCTATAGTCTGGAGATGAGCAGTAATTTCAGGGGATCCCCAGGTCCCACCTGGAGGCTGGCATCCCTAGGCAGCACCCTCTGGGTATCTGATTTGCATGACTCAGCTAGGCCCAGCTGCTTGCTACTGTTCATCAGCAGCCACTCTGAAATCCAACGTGATGTAACAGAGCTTCAGATTAGGGTCTGCGAGACCCAGGTTCAGACCCCCATCTTGCGGTGGAAGCTAGCTGGGTGATTTTGGACCAGTGACACACTTTTGGCCTAACCAACCTCACAGGGTTGTTGTGCAGATTAAAAGGAGGAAAGAATATGTAAACTGCTTTGGTCCGCACTGTGGAGAAAAGCTAATTTTCCTAGGTAGACGCTGTGGGGGAGGGGTGTGTGGAGATGGAAAGCTGAAGATAGGTGGGCAAGAAATAAGGTTGCCAACTCCAGGTTGGGAAATTCCTGGACATTTGAGGGTTAGATCCTGGGGACAGTGGGATTTGAGGAGGGGAGAAACTTCACGCTGGTATAATGCCATAGTCTCCATTCTCCAAACCAGCCATTTCCTCCACAAGAACTATCATTGCCAGCCTCCAGGTGGGGGCTGGAGATCACCCAGACTTACAACTGTTGTCCAGGTGACAGAGATCAGTTCCCCTGGATAAAATGGCTGCTTTGGAGGGTGGAGTCTATGGCATTATACCCTGCTGAGGCTGCTTGCCTCCCCAAACTCCACTGTCCCAAGGGTCCACCCCCAAATATCCAGGAATTTCCCAACCTGGAGCTGGCATCCCTAAGGTGAATTGATCTCTGTATCTGGGAGATCCGTTGTGATTCCCAGAGTGCTGCCACTGCTGCTGTGTGAGCCACTGTTGCTGTGTGAGGAGAGGAAGCAGGTGGGTGGCTGAGACCCTGAGAGCACCGCTGCTGCTGTGTGGGGGGGGGGAGGAAGGAGGCAGGAGACTGGGAGAGTGAGGGGGGCAGAAAGAGAGTGATGAGGTGGTGAGGCAGAAAAACAATGATGGGCAGAAAGAGAGGAAGTATGCGTAGAGATACAGAGTAAGAAAAGGGGAGGCAGAATGGAAAAAGAGTGAGAGAGGTAGGGGGAGAGGGGAGAAAGCAAATGTGTGAGGGATGGGATAACCATCTCGCAAGTTTTTTGTGTGTCTCCACTTGTATCCCCTGATTCTGTCTTAGCCTCTTTGGATGTATCTGCATTGTACACCAATATCCCCCATGAAGAAGGGTGTATAGTATTAGAAAATGTTTTAGAATCACATAGTGTAACGGAACCTCCCACTCATTTCCTTTTAGAACTCATAGACCTAATTTTGGAGAAAACTTACTTTAGATAACAAGACCAGTTCTACTGTCAAATTAGGGAATTGCCATGGGGGAGGCCTATGGCTCCAAGTTTAGCAAATTTATTCACAACATCTTGGGAAGATAAAAATATTGTGGACCCTACAGGTAATCCATTTTTTGATTGTATAATTCAATATAAAAGATTTGTGGTTGATATTCTGATTGTATTTACAGATGAGGTTAAATTTTTACAGTTTTCTGACTGGATTAATACATTTACATCCAACAATTAGATTTGTTAGTAAATTTTA